TGTTTTATTTTTACATTTTTTATATTATTTATTGAAGCGTATATATTGCTCATATATTATTATTATTATTATTATTATATTAAAAACTGAAAAAGGCTGACGTTTATATTATTTTTGAATATACATTTAAAATAAATTTTTTTGTTTTTTTGCAATTCATTCAATAACTTAAATATTTTCTAAGCAGCTTTATTATCTAAAAATTCGTCAAAAAGTGTTCCAAAACTTTTTTTTAATAACTGCAAAGCATTAATGCTTCAAAGTTTAGTATTTTATTACTTTTGTTAAAGCCAAAATTAGTCATTAAATATTATTCTAACAGCTGCCAGATGCTTGCCAAAATATATCACATAACTTTCGCACTTATACTTACTAATTTTGAAGGCTGAAGTTTGAAGACTGATTTTTGAAGCTCAAAATAATCAAATTTGAAATATTACTCAACAAAGTAATCGTTTTTCAAGTGATAAAAAGTATGAATTACTTTTTTACATTTTGAACTATGACTAAAACTTTGGTTTTTCAATAAAAGATTTGAACTTTTTTGAGTTATTTTAAGTGACTTTACATTATTGTAAGTTAAAATACTATTTACAATTATTATTCACAATCTACAAAAGTTAGCGTGCAATTGAGGTCACGTTAAAGAAGTTGTATTAACATTTGCTAACTTCACAATAATAATTATTGATACTTAAATATTCAAGTTCAAAGAGCGAAAAAAAGTTTATTTTACGAAGAAATTATTGATAGCATAGAAAGTTAACGAAATAATAATGTATTAGTGACTGAAATTGTTAACATTAATCTAATTCTAAAACTGTGACGGCAGCTGTAACAGACATTTGCGCTCCTTATCATTACTATCATCTGTTATCGATCATTGAAGCATTAAAATATTTTTGTAATAATTATTAATATACTTTTAATAGTTTAATAAAAATACTTTAATCAATCAGACTAACATATTTTAGTTATTATCATAAGAATACATTTGTTGTAAGCAATATACTTTTGTAGTAATTAAATTGAAGTGTTTAGATTTTGGCAATTTTTGAGCAAATGATGGATTTTAACTTTGGTCTATATTTTTTTATCAGAACTATTTGATATTAATATTATCGAGTCATTTTTATAGTAGTCATTTTCATGAATATTAAAATAAGACATAGAAGATTAAATTTTACATAAATTTTGTTTGATCAGAATCGTAGTAAGAACATC